AACAGGAGCACCAGAACAATACACCAGGGGAAAGAGTAGTCTCTACAATGAATGGTGCTGGGACGCCTGGATAGCCACACACAAAAGAATAAAACGGGACCCTTATCTCACATCACGTATGGGAGTTCACTCATGGATCAGTGTAAAAGCTGAAACTATAAAACTTGCAGTTTTTAAATGGTAAAATGCTGGGGCAAACCTGCATGACCTTGAACTTGCTGATGCTTTCTTAGGTATGACACCAGAAGCACAAGCAACCAAAGGAAAAATTAATTTGACTGACTAAGAAATTAAACATTTTGTGTTTAATGGGCACTATCAAGAAAGTGAAAAACAGCCCCTAGAATGAGAGAAAATATCTGTGGTTGTATATCTGCTAAGGGCTTGTACCTTGGCTAGATAAAGAACTCTCACAACCCAATAATAAAAAGATAAATAAACCAAGTTCCCAGAAGTCCCAGGGCTCTGTGTTGCACGTTCCCTGTGGGGACACCCCCTCAAAGTAAAAGACAAGTCACGGTGCCCTTTACCTCCTCCGCTGAGAGGGAGCGCATCGCGTGGAGGCTCCTCCGGGTTTTGGAGGCAGCAGTGCTGCCGGCCATTTGTTAGATGAGACGGAGCGTGCCAGCTCTGAGCAGAGCCCAGGGCAGAAGAGGAGTCTGCGGCAGGCCCAGGCTTTGGCACAAGCAGCCCTGAGCCCGGCCTGTGACCTGGAAGAGCCCGTGACAAATGCTACAGCAGAGGAAGATGTCACTTGGGGCCTCAGAGAGTTTCTAGTGGGAGAGCTGCAGTGCAAACTCCTAAGGTTCTGGAGCGAGGCCTTGCCACAGGCCATTCACAAACCAGCTCCTGGCTGTTACTGGCCCCTGGCAGGAACTGAGCATCTGACATTGGGCTACCAAGGGACCACGTGGCCAGAATGGCTCATCAGAGCTAGGTACTGTCAGAGCCACCAAATCTTAAGGTACTGTCACACAATGGAAGAGGCATCACCAAGATCAGCTCCCAGCAAATCCAGAGGACATAAGTAAGCTGCATGAGCGAGTGGCTGCCACCCCCATATGGCCTCGTTTGCAGCAGGGTGCCACCTCTGGTGGCCCTGAACAGCAGCAGTAAGAGGAAAGTCCCCAAAAGGCTGGGTTTCTAAGGAGCACTGTGCCATCCATGTTGTATGGAGGGAGAAGTGCCGAGGAAAAGGAGACAGGGTCCCGGAGCCACAGCAAACAGTTGACTAGGTTGGTGCAGGGGCCTGGACAGCCAGAGTAGAATTTCAAAGACAAGGGAGTCAAGGAGAACCGGTGTGACATGGTGCTGGGTGTCCAACTAGTGGACAACAGGGGCCTGGACCTGGGGTGGACGTGAGGAGCCCCATCCCCCAGTATTCCCAGGGACCCGGCTGGGGAATCTATGTTCGCACCCTGGCAGCTTTAGGTTCTGGGTCTTGGAGAGGGTGCTTTCACCAGAAACACAGTAAGAGGGGCACAAAACAGGAACTCTGACAGCTGCTGGGTCACCCGGCTCCTCATGACAGCGAGCAAAGGGGTCCCACACTGGCAGAGGTACCGGGCTCAGATCTTGGGAGCAGGGATGTTAGATCCTCCCTCCACTGGGGATGTCCTTGAGGAGTAGGATCTGGATCCACCCATCGGCTGAGCCCCGCAGACCTCCAGCAGCACTCACCACTCCTGGGAGGGGGAGTCTGGGAACAGCTTCATGACCAACTCAGGCATCAGAGGCAGAAGCCCATCCCACCAGCCTCCCTCTCCTACATCGGCCCAGGAACTGTGACCAGCCAGAATGCCGGGGAGTCTGAATGCAGTGGACCTAACGTGAGAAGCAGTGGGGCTGAGCACAGCAGGGCCAGGGGGAGGGCTCTCCGCCCCACCCAGAGCCGCTCCTCCCCCAAGATGTGAGCTGGGGGCTCACAACTGACTGCTGCTCAGGAGCGTTGGCCAGATGGGAGCCACCCTGGCAGGGCAGGCAGCGCACCCCGACCTCACTCAGGGTGGCCCCAGACACCCTAAGCTAGAGCGGAGCCAGCCTTCCTCTCAGCATCTTCCTCTCCCCCTCTCGTCCCCCTTGGGTGCACCCTCACCCAAAAAAACTCCCTCCTGGTCCTCTTCCACCCCAACCACTGATCTGTTCTCTGTTGCTCTGATGATGCCTTTTCCAAAGTGTCACATAAATGGAATTACACAGCAAGGGAGACTGTTGAGACTGGCTGACTTCTTTCACTCAGCATGACGCATCCATCCACTCACCAGCTGATGGACTTCTGGCTGTGTCTAAGCTTCAGCGATGATTAATAAAACTGCCCTAAACACTCACGGGCAGCACTCTGTGTGAACAGAAGTTTTCACGTCTTGAGAGTGAAGCCCCAGGAACGGAACAGCCAGTTCATGCAGGCAGCGTGTGTTTAGCTCAGTGGGCTGGCTTCTCTGTAGGGAACACTTCCCTCTGCCTCTCGGTTCTCTCTGTCCTGCCCATCGCAGGCAGCTAGCAGAGGTCAGGCGGCTGCTTCAACACCCACCCCGGGCATCTCCTGAGGTAGATCATCTCTCATTCATTAGGTACGTTTTCAATTTTCTATTTCTTGCTCTACTGCAGGTGACAATTTACTAAATTCTTGCCACTCCGTAACGAGGGTCTCCTTCCCTCCGTGTTCCAATAGCACTTTCCCCACTTTCCACTGGGACACACTGTCAGTCTCAGCTGGTCCTTCCAGTCCCAAAGCCGAGGCCATGGGATGTAGGGTTTGTATAGGCAGCATCCCCATTCCTGTCTCTCATCTAGAGCTACATAACCAACCACCCCTGACTTACAATCACCTCACTGTTACCTCTTGCAGGTCTCACTTCTGGTCTCTCGTGCGATGGTGGTCCAAGGTGGCAGGGACAGGAGTCGTCCTCACTCACCCGTGGTGCCCTGTGCTGGTTACTGGCTGGCCCTTCAGCAGGGGCTGCTGACTCGAACGCCTCTGCCTGTCCTCTCCCTGTGGCTGCTGGTGCCTCTCCACAGCATGGCAGCTGGGTTCAAAGGGCAAGCACCCCAAGTTAGATAAGTAGATAGATAGATAGAGAAATGGCAGTGGAGAAGCTGTATCCCCTAGCTGTATGGCCTGGTCTCAGAAATCAGTATCCCTTCTGCTGCATTCTAGAAGTTAGAAGCAAGTCATTGAGCCAGCAGCCCACATTCAAGGAGGAGGGAATTAGCTTTCACCTCTTGAGGGGAGGTGTGTCAAATTCTCTGGCGTGTTTGAAAAGCACCACAGTGGGCCCCTTACCAAGGTGGGCCGGCAAAAAGACAGGGTGTATTTGGAAGTGGAGAGCTGGAGAGAGGGTGTGTCAACCCAGGTGGCTAGGTGGGCAGGTGCACCACTTATCACTGTGGGCAACACCAGGCAGCGATGGGTTTTAAGAAGATCTTGAGTCTGTTTCAGGCATGGTGGCCGGAGATGTTGACCGGTGACTAAAACGGAGGTGTGGAGCAGACTTCAGGAGATGCTGGCCTGGAGCGGGGAGGTGCTGGAAGTGCGAACTCAGGAGTCACTGTCACGGAATGGCGTCTCAAGTCCCAAGGCTGGAGATCACCAAGGGAGAGAATGGGGAGGGAGGAAGAAACAGCCAGGCCTGGGAGGAGGAGGGCACCGCCCTCCCAACCACTGACACTGTCGCCTCCGCTGCAGAACTCAGACCTTGACGGGCAGTGACACCCAAGGGCCTCTCTGAGCTAATGGTGAGCATACAGTTCTGGGAGGGCAGTCACATAGGAGAGGTTTTCACGGTCATCCCAAAGGACCTGTGGGAAGAGATGGGAGGTCTGGGGCCATGGCAGCCACCCTGTAACCAGGAGGCAGGACCATTCACAGAGTGCATCTCCTTCACTGAGCCTCCAGATTAACAAATCCAGGGAGACCGAAGGAACCTAGGAAAGGTCCCTCAGGAAGCGACCGTTGTGGTATAAGTTGGCAGTCTGCTGCTCTGTCCTGTGGGCCAACCATATCTTTTCAGAGATCCAGAAAGGGGGGTCTTGGACCCAAGTGCCTGGTCAGCTGTCCAGTGGTTCCTAACTGAGATGAAACAGTCTTCTCTGAATTTGGCAAAGTGCAGGTCACCACCATGAGGGGGCATGGAGGTGGGGGGTGTGCGTGGACGACACTGGAGTGGCCTGAAGAATGAGGAAGCGGAAAGCGGGCCGAGTCAGCTCTCGAGAAGCATGGCTGTGACAGGGGTGATGCAAGAGTAATGTTTTCTGGGGGGATTCTGGGACACAGAGGAAAGCAGGAGGATGGGTTTCCCCAGAGCACTGGGAGTGTGAGAGGCTTGGATGGAGTCCAGAAGGCTCCCAGGATCCAGGAGAGAAGGCAGAGAATTGGGAGCATGCGGTGGCGGGGAAGGGGGTGTTGCGGGATTTGGTGATAACCAGACCCAGCTCCTGCCCTTGTCCCCGTTTCCTGCAGAAGGCTGAGACCCGGCTCTGAAGAGCGTGGGAAGTTTGGGGGCCCGAAAAGGTGGGATTGTGGGGCTGCCGGTGGTGTCGGGCCCGACCTGAGGTGGGAGCTCAGCAGTTTTGGGGCGTTTTTCGCGGGTGGCGTGGGTTTCTGCAGACCTGTTCGTCCGCCTCGGTGGGGCCTGGAAGGGGACAAGGAGCAGCCCTGACCGTCCTGGCTACAGGAAGAGGGGCCCCGGGTCTAGCCAGAAAGCGCCGCCACGCTGAGAGGACTCCCAGGGTCAGGGCGTCTCAGGTGTGCGCATCTCCCCGGCGGGGCAGGAGCACACACCTGAGCCTCGGGGCTTCCGGCGGGCCCCCTCCCGTAGGGCCGGCCGATCCCCGCGCGCCGTTGCGGGGCAGGATTTTCCGCCGCCGCAGCCAGGGATTAGTGCGCTCCTGACCACGCGGCGGGATTAGCCCGCGTGGACCAGGCGCCCGGCCCGAGGATTACGGCGCGCTCCCCTCCGACGTATATATTTCAGAGGCGGCGGCGGCTCGGCGGGGCCGGCATGGCTGCGGCGGGGGGCGCGTCGAGCCGCAGGGGCCCCGGGCGGCCCTGCCCCTTCTCCATCGAGCACATCCTCTCCAGCTTGCCGGAGCGGAGCCCCCCGGCCCGGGCCGCCCGAACACCGCAGCCGGCTGGCCCCCAAAGCCCCGCGGAGCCCGGGGAGCCCGGGGTGCCCGAGTCCGCGCCCTGTGCTTGCTGCTGCTGCTGCGGCCCCCGCAGGCCCCCGGAGCCGGCCGCGGGCCTGGGTGAGTGGGCTCGGCGCGGGCGTGGGCGTGGGGGACCTGGGGTCGCAGGGAAGTTGGCGCGGAGCGTCACCCCCGCCCCGCACCTCATTGCACCCTCGTCCTGCAGGCGCCCGGCTGCCGTGGCCATTGAGGCTGGCGCCCTCGGCGACCTTGCCCTTGGCCGTTCCGCCCGGAAGCTCCGGGGTGCTGTCCAGCGCTGGTGGCCCCGGCACGCAGCGGCGCACGCGGCGCCACCGCACCATCTTCAGCGAGGAGCAGCTGCAGGCGCTGGAGGCGCTCTTTGTGCAGAACCAGTACCCCGACGTGGGCACGCGGGAGCGCCTGGCCGGCCGCATCCGCCTGCGCGAGGAGCGCGTGGAGGTGGGGGCCCGCCTGCCGTTCTGCCAGAGGGTCCAAAGGGTCCAGGCAGGCTGGCTTCCTTTCTCCTTTGGAAAGGACGGCCCTGGCGCAGGGGGCCGGCGTGGCGGCGGGAGGAGGCGAGGGAGACCCTGGGTCCAGCGGGGCGAGGGGCCGGTTCCGCGGGAGGGGCGGACAGGGACAGGCACGTGCGGGGAAATATCGCTGGAACTAGAGGGTAAGTAAGCCTAGTTTTCCTTTCCTTTCCTTTTTTTTTTTAATTTACTGATTTTTAGAGAGAGCGTGGGTGAGAGAAAGACAGACATCTACTTGTTGTTCCACTTATCGATGCATTCACTCATTGGCTGACTCGTGTGCCCTGACCCGGGATCAAATCCACAAGCTCGGCGTCTCTGGAGGGCGCTCTAACGTACCCAGCTGCCCCTTACAGTGCCAGAGGCGCGTTCCTGTTCCACAATTTGGGAGGCTCAGAGGAGCACAAAACGGCAGAAGGGGCTCCCTGGGCGCCCTGGGGCGGGGGTGGGGTTGGGAAGGGTTTCCCGTCCCGAGACTGAGACCGTGGCTTGTAGCCGCCCCGCGTGCGGACTCCGTAGCCGCCGTTCGCCCACACACCCGCCGGGACCCCACGCCTCCAGGTCCACCTACGGCAGCCCGGCGGGACTCGGGTCCTGCCTGAGCTGTCCCCTCCCTCTCCTCAGGTGTGGTTCAAGAACCGCCGGGCCAAATGGCGACACCAGAAACGAGCGTCCGCGGCCGCGAGGCTCCTGCCCGGAGCCAAGAAGCCCCCCAAGGACAGTTGCTGATCCCCTGTGAGCTGCTCCTGGGCTTGGCCGCGTGCGGGCCAGCTCGGAGAGTCGGCAGTCCCGCCCGAAAAGGAGTTGAGGCAGGACTCCTGCCTCTTCCCGTCTGCATAGCTGCCTGGGTCCCGGAGCTAGGGCTGGACGCAGGAGTCCCTCTGCAGGGTCGTGCCTGCGTCCCTGGGCCACCGGCCCGTGAAAGGAGAGAACACCGAGTCCCAAGGTGCGCTCTCCTCCCCAAGGGCAAGCGGGCCAGAAGACCAGGAGATTCCCTGGGAAGAATGGGATAGAGCACCGAGCACGTCGGCTCCCTCACCCCTCCTCCTAGGCACTAACCCCGCCCCAGGACAGAAACCGCCCTGCGTCAACGCGGGACCTAAAATCCTCCTCTTTAGGGGCTAGCTGGCCGCCCGCCTCTCTTCAGCTCGGACATCGCCCCGCCCCCCGGCCTGGCCTAGAACCCGCCTGAGGCGGGGTGGGTCGTGTGCGTGCGTCCTGGGATTGCTGCGGGTTTGAAGGGACTGCACTGTGTTCTGTGTCCAGACCTTTAGAATGAGAAAGTTGGGAGGTCTCCCCCCACCGCCCCACCGCACGCCCCGAATCCTGTGAACCTATCGCAATAACAAAAAATAAACAACTGAAAGCACCACAAAAGCAGTCGTGTCTAAGTCTGCCCTGGCTCCATTCCCACACCCAGCCAGAACCTGCCTCTCCTCTCTGCTTCCCAGGGGATGGGGGGCCGGCTTATCTTGGGGAGCACAGCCTAGTGAGTACTCAGTCCCTGCACCAAGGTGCCCCTCAGCAGAGCATACTGCCCCACCCATAGTGGCCTGACACCCTGGGGTGGTCTCCAGGTGCTGCTTCATGGGTGGGGGTACTTGGCTTCCTCCCTGGAGTGGGGGTGGGGTCCATGCCATGGTGTCTGCCTCCCTCCATCACCCTGCCCCACAGGGTGAAGGACAGAGTGAAAACATGACTTCGTTTCCCCAAGTAGACCAAGCAGTGGGCCCAAGGAATCTAACATCCCCCTCAACCGCCTTAAGGACCTTGTCCTGCCTCCTCACAGGTCCTGGAGGGAGTTTGGGAGGAGTATATGCCAAGACACAGTTCACCCATAAAAGTCACAGAAATCAGGGCTGCAGTTCTTGGGACTGTCCAAGGCTGGCCAGCTCGGGTGACACCTAGCAGGCACGATGTCCCCAGCCAGGGGTGCCCTCACACTGCTGGCTGCCTCACCTCCCTGGATGCACACTTCTGGTTGTCACAAAGCCCCTTTCCCTGAATCCTGGCCTTATCCTTGGCCACCTCGCAGTCCACCTGCAGACCTCCCCTGCAGGCTGGAACACCCTCATCTTTCTGGGTTCCGGGACCCTCGCCCTCCTTGGCTGAGTAGCTATTTGTCATTATGTGGGGCCACCAGGATCAGAGTTCCACCTTCAAGTTCCACCTAGTGGCTATGCTGCTCTTCGCTTTTTCTCCTTTCTCTCTAGCTGCTCTTGGGCAGGCTCACCTCCACAGCCGGTCATTAACATAAATGTCCTTGAGGCTGAGTCTCAGGCACCCTACTCTCATCTCCATTGTCATCCCGGTTTATCTCTTCCATGTTCAGCTGCCACGTTTACATCTCCAGATCGGGCCTCTCCCATGAGCTGGATACTTCCATCCAGCTGTCCCTTTGACTACCCCACCGGGAAGCCCACAGCTCCTCTAAGTCACTTGTCCTGGGAAGGCAAGCTCTTTCCCCGTGCATACCAGGTACAGGAACCAGCGGGCTGCCACTCATCCTGCCCCCTCCTCTCCCTCACCCATTAGACATAGGCCAACAGCAAGTCGACCTCACGTTCAAAAACAACCCCAGAATCTCCCCAGCTTCAATTGCACAACCTGATGAAACCTCTGTCATCTCTCACCTTGACCGTTGCAGCCACCTCAAGTCTTGCCACCTCTGTCCACTCTGGTTTCTTTTTAGTTCATTCTCCAGAAAGTCTGCAAGTCCAAACCTGCCTCTCCCCTGCCTACAGCACTCCAAGGGCTTCCCATTGACCCTACAGAAAAGACAAAACCCACCATGACCCACAAGGTCCCATCTCATGCAGCCTGGCCTGACACCCTGGAGTCACCTCACACCTCACTCACTGCTCCTTGTACTCTGCATACCCAAAGGTCTTCTCCCTCCTGCGGCCAGGCCTTTGCCCAGGCTTTCTTCCCTGCCCATCTGACCAATGCCTGCCCACCTTTTGGCTCTGCAGTCACATCCTGCCCAGGGAAACTTTCCCTGGATGTCCCTAGGTAAGATTTCTCAAATAGAAGCTTTTTTCTTGCTCCTGTCAACTGCAGTTCTAAGCTTGTTCGGGGAGACCTAACCAGAGTCTGTCTTCCTCATTGGACTATCAGCTCCCTGAGGGCAGGAACCACCACCAGTGAATAAAGGAATGACTGTCTCTTGTACTAAATCATTCTGGGGCAAAACTTAGTTGTTTGGCACAATTCACAACCTCCTTTTGGGAAGAAATGATCAATCTTGAAAAATGTTTAGGCAATTTTCTGGTCCATTTCAATGAGAATTAGCCCTCTTCTGGGAAGCCCATTCTGGCATTTAGGGACCTGATAATTTTTAACTAGACATTTCTGTATAGAAACATCGTATTTTACTTTCTTTTTGTTTGTTTTGTTAGATAACTATCAAGAAAGAATTGTCTTAGGTTCTTTTCTTACATAAAGTCTGAATAAAAGCTCTGAAACGTGTATATAACCAAGTTTTCTGAAGAGTGTGTTTTTGTTAATAATGTAGAAGCATACGCAGTGATTATTTGCGAATTGGAATTGCAAGGCCTTACTCAGTGCAGGAACTTTTCACGATTAGCATCAAAGACACGTCCCTTAACCGCACCACCACAGCGCCGTCTAGTGCCCACATCCCAGATACACATAAACAGCGCGGAGCAGGAAGAAGAATACAATTCCCATCAGGACGAGGACTTGTGACGTCATTGCTGAGCGCGGGTCGGCCTTCGAAACGCGCAGCACTCCTATTGGTCAACTGTTGGAAGCGGCTGTGCTACTAGCCCAGTCCCGCCCCTCTGACGCTATGACGCGCCTGCTGAGAGGTCCTGGGACAGTGATGGAGACGCCTAGTGCGTCTCCCGGGGCCCTGTTGCTCTCAACCGGGTTCCACCCCGGGAAGAAGCGGGCGGCAGGGGAGGCCGGGGCTGCAACGAGGAAGCAACGGGTCTTGGACGAGGAAGAGTACATTGAGGTAAGACCTCGGTGTGGGCGCCAGCGACTTCTGGGTCCATCCTCGACCCCTCGCCTTCGCCCTGAACTCCTCTCGGGTACCTCCTCCTTACAGGTCGTGGCACTCTGGCTCCCTCGCGGTGGAGCAGCCGGAGTCCTTGCCCTCGGGGTGTGGGCTTTACGAGAATCAGATAAACACAATGCAGAGGGGTGCCGTTGATGGAGGAGGCACTAGCAGTGTTCTCAGGGGAGAGGGGAGGCAGTTCTGTTTGCATGTGGTGGGGGTTAGGGAAGCGAGGTTTTCTATTCAAGCATCAGTAGGAGTTTGGAAGGCTAGTGACAAAGAGGACTTTTTAGAGAGTGGTAATAGCAAGTGCAAAGGCCGAGTGAGTGTCCTGGAAAGAGGCTACGACTGTGGCACCTTGAAGTAGGTCTTAATCCTACCGCAGACAGGCGGGAGGAGGAGCTGGCACGGAGATCGGAGTCCGTTTGGTTTGGGACTGGTTAAGTTTGGGAGGCCTTTAGGTGGCATTAGTGAACAGCTGGGGGCACAGATGTGCAGCTGAGGAGCAAGGTCTGGCTGGAGGTGCAAGTTGGGGACGTCAGCTGGTGCCAGTGGTGGGGTGACTGGCTGAAGTCATTCGGGTAAAGGGTTTGTGTTGGAAGTAGGAGGTCACTGTTGGCGTGAAGGTGGCAACACTCACATTTGTCTAGCTGGTGTGGAAGTGAGGCTAGCAAATGAGAATGAGAGTAACCAGTCAGTGAGGGCAGAGAGAAGAGCTTCATGACAGTCAAAGGAGCACTTAGTAATGGTAGATGTTGCGGCAAGGCCGCACGGGATGTTATCTTCATTAGAAAATGCCTCTAAGCTCTGGGGATCCTTGGGCTGGACAGAGGTTGGGGGCGGGGCTCAGCAAGGGTCCTAGGTCTTTGCATGTGCACTGGTTGGCTGAGGTGGGGAGGACCCAGAAGGCTGCTCTGACCCTGGGTCTGATCCCTTCTGACAGGGCCTCCAGACAGTCATCCAGAGAGACTTCTTTCCTGACGTGGAAAAGCTGCAGGCACAGAAGGAATACCTGGAGGCTGAGGAGAATGGAGACTTGGAACGGATGCGCCAGATTGCCATCAAGTTTGGCTCTGCTCTGGGCAAGATGTCCCGAGAGCCCCCACCGCCCTGTAAGAGGACCCCTGTGGGTGGCAGAGACAGGAACACCTGTGGAACTGTTGCCTCAGGCTCACTCTAACCCCCATTTCCTCTCTAACCCCAGATGTGACTCCAGCCACATTTGAAACCCCTGAGGTGCACACTGCCACTGGGGTGGTGAGCCACAAGCCCCGGGGCCGTGGCCGGGGCCTGGAGGATGGCGATGGTGAGTGAGTGCCGTCTTTTTGTCACATGGGTGGGATTGTCAGGAAATCTCACCCTTTGAGGGTAGTCCAGAGGCAGGTCACCCTTGTCCCTGCTGTGTCTCCATGTCTAAATGGCATCCCTTTGGGTCAAAGAGCATTGTCTAAGAGACAGAAGATCTGGGTCCAGCTCCCAAATGCAGGGCAGTCCTCTGAGCCTCTGGTTCTCCTCTGTGATATGGAAATCTTGTGTCCTCTCTCACCGCCTGCTTACTGTGTGCCAGCCCCGGCCAGGTGGGCTTCATGGGCCTCAGAGGGCTCCTTTCCTTGCTGTCTCCTTAAGATGCCTCAGGTCCTCTGTACTTGTTTCTTATAAGTTAGCCACTTCCCTTGGATAACTGCACAGGCCACTCCTCTTTCTCCAGGTCTCTGCTCAGATGTCACCGATTCAGGGAACCCTTTCCTGACCTCCCAGTGTGAAGTCACACCACCCCCAATGCTCTGTGCTTTCCTGGTTTTGTTTTCCCATTGCAGGACATGGCCCTTAAAAAGGCATTTCTGTTTTACTGTCTTTCCCCTCCACGGGAGCAGGTTCTTTGTCTTGCTTACGTTTGTATACTCTGCATCTAGAACAGCTCAGGTGTGATGTGGGTTTCCCGCAAATGTGTGTAGAACAAACAAATGTTTTCTTCTCGAAGACATTTACTGAGGTGTGTGTGATACATCTCAATTTTATGAGGGTGCCTTTCTAGGACATTCTGAGTGTTCTAGAACTCAGAGCATTCTGAGTGCTGTTGAACATAAGCGTTCCACATGCTACGGGACATTCTCACGGTTGTTCAGCGTCCTCATCAGGAGTAGAATGTCAGCACCCATGCAGAAGGATGAGGTGCTATTCTCTGTTAGGTTCTGGTCTACGGTATGACACCCTGACACAGATGCCCTGTGTGCTTGCAAAAACGTGATGTTTTCTGCTTTAAAACCCAGCTCTTCCTGCCATTAACACAGTCCCTCGCATGGTCTCCTTGGAGAATGAGCCTCCATTGCATATGGCTCTTGAATCACAGGCAATGGGCAGATCCTTTGTTTTCTAAATACCTCTTACTGGTCAGTAAATAAGGAATCCTTTCAGTAACCCGGCACCATCATCATTCACAGTCGTAGGGGAGGAAACCGAGGCTCAGGAAGGCAGTACTTTCTGCAGGTCCCTGAGCTGGTTGTGGCGGAGCGGAGTTTGAGTCCTCTCTGACCCTGGGTCTTGAACTTGAAGCCGCTGTGCTTTGCACAGTCTAGCAGGGAGTAGCAGGCAGTCAGAGCTGGCACTAGAGTGGAAGAAGAGGCTGTCCTCCGTCCTCCTGACAGCCTTGCCGAGTCCGCACTGCCGAGCACAGCGCACGGGCTCCCTCTCAGTGGAGGTGCCACTTCCGCTGGCAGCTGGCATTGTGGCCCAGTGTCTGTGAAGCCCCATCCAGAGCACTTGCTATATGGGGTCCCTGCCTCCAGGCCCACTAGTAAATCAGGAGGCTTAGGTGACAGTCACCCACCTGTACCACAGGTACCAGGAAGCGGGGTGGAGCCGTCGGGGTGAGGAAATCCCTGGGGGGAAGAGAGAGCCTGGGCTTTGGAGGCAGGTCCTGTAGGACCGGCACAGCTTGGGTGGGGAAGACCCCCTGTGATCACTGCTCTTTCCCTAACACCTGGGCGCTCCCCTTCTGGTCCGTCGAGTCGGGTTGCACACTTCACTTGGCATCCAGCAGGTTGGGAAAGCCCCTGAGGGCTCGCTGGGCAGTTGGGGTGGTCGATGCTGCCCCCAGGTGGGGAGCTGTCTGGCAGTCTGGGCTCTCACAGACAGACCCAGGGCCAGGTGTGAGCGTGCTAGCCCTGCTTGTAGGGCACTGTGGTTCCTGGGGCTGACAGACTGCAGAGTGGTGTTGCTGCTGTTCATGGTTCTGTGTCACCCCCGTACCCTGAGCAGGAGAGGCTGGAGAGGAGGAGGAGAAGGAGCCCCTGCCCAGCCTGGATGTCTTCCTCAGCCGCTACACAAGTGAGGACAATGCTTCCTTCCAGGAGATCATGGAGGTGGCCAAGGAGAAGAGCCGGGCACGCCACGCCTGGCTGTACCAGGCCGAGGAGGAGTTTGAGAAGGTGCCCTTGGGTGCAGGGGCAGAAGCACCCTCTGTTGGGTGCGGGGAGGGGGTCCCAGAGCGAGAGCACAGTGCCTGGGGGCTCTCTGACCCTTTTCCTTCTGTGATGCAGAGGCAGAAAGATAACCTCGCACTTCCGTCGGCAGAGCATCAAGCCATTGAGAGCAGCCAGGCTGGCGTGGAGACCTGGAAATACAGGGCCAAGAATTCCCTCATGTACTACCCAGAGGGTGAGCAGGCAGTGTGGGCGGGGCTGTGTGGGTCTGGCCTCCAGGGTGTGGTCTGTGTTCCCTTGCATTCTGGGCCTCCAAGAGGTCCTGGCCTGCCTGTCTTGGGGCGGGTGGGCCTGTGTGTGAAGTCACTGAGAGAGTGAGGCTCTCTCCAAGTTTGTTCGGTTCTGTGATGTGGAGGCTGAAGCAGGTTTCATGCTTCTGTTCAGTGGGGAGTGACTTGGCCTCCCTCAAGCCTTGAGCACTGGGAGGAGGTGGGGCCTGCCCACCCATCTGACACCTGCTGCCCTCTCCTTGCTCTGCCAGGCGTCCCTGATGAGGAGCAGCTGTTTAAGAAGCCCCGGCAGGTGGTGCATAAGAATACTCGCTTCCTCAGGGACCCCTTCAGCCAGGCCCTGAGTAGGTCTCAGCTGCAGCAGGCCGCTGCACTCAATGCCCAGGTGGGTGTTGGGAGCCAACAGTGGGCTGGCTATGGGCAGAAATGACCTCTTTGATCTTGGCTATTCCTCTTATATTAGGACGATTCTTGGGCTTGGCAGAGCTCATCCATACAGAAGTATTTGGAGCCCCTCTGTGGAAGGGTCCCAGGTCTTCTATATACATTGGGGTGCTGTTTTGGTCAGACACATTCTGTGGGTTCAGTTCTCTGCCAACTCCCTTGGAGGGCAAGGGCAGAGACAAAATCAGCTGCCACAAGCCAGGCCAATCTGGCCAGACCTGCACCTCTGCACGAGGCCCGGCCAAGGGGTGGGAGGGGTGGGCAGGCTGGGGTGGGGGGCCTGGCCTGGCAGACGGCAGAGGTTTCTGAGCCTGAGAGTTCCCGTGTGATGGTGCCTTTGGTGGTCATGGGGTTAAAGGTGGGGAGACTGCTCTAGAGGCTCTTACAGGGGCCTTATGGGAAGAGATCAGAGCACAGGCGCCCATAGTTAGTGTAGCCCCTGCAGGAGCCTGAAGACATTAGTCCCTGAAAGTCCCCCGTGTGGGGTGTGGCCGTGTGCTGCCCTGCATGGAGGGGAAGGAATGAGGGGAGCTTCCTTCTTTGGAAGCCTGCTGTCACATGTCCTCAAGGTCTTTGCAGGAGCCAGGTCCTCCCTCTCTCCCCCCAAGGGGGCTGCTAGCCCCAGAGCCCCAGCTGTGCTCTTGGGGGAGGGAAGTGTTTCCACTGGGCACCCGCCCATCCGCCAGTGGGGGAGAGTGGTGCCCCCTGACACTGGCCTCTCTGCTTGTTCCAGCACAAACAGGGCAAGGTGGGCCCCGATGGCAAGGAGCTGATCCCCCAGGAGTCCCCTCGAGTCGGTGGATTTGGATTTGTCGCCACGCCTTCTCCTGCCCCTGGTGAGAAATGCACCTGCTGGCAAGCTGGCCCGCCTGCGGGATTGCCTGGGGGGAGGCGGGCTGCTCGGTTGGCCCTGGCCGCTCTTGGCGCTCCCCTGGGTCTGCTGTACACCATGTATGACTCAGAGATCCGGTGTCCCATCCGCAAGGACAGGTCTGGACTCTCCGGCAGACCCGCCTGGAGATGTGGGGGGCCTGGCCCGTTTAGCTGGGTGGTCTCTGTCCCTCACCCTAAGCGGAGCGGGACAAACCGAGTTTGTCAGAACCAGGGGTTTTTGGGGACTTTGCTGGACAGACTGGCATGGTGAGCCCGCTGAGGGGCACAGGGGAGGCCTGAGGTCTGCTTCGCAGTGAGGGCAGCGTTGTCTAGTGGGCTGCCAGCAGGCACCTTCCTGTGTGAAAGGCAGGTCGTCGTCTGCAGGAGGCTGGGTGCACCCAGAGGCCGTGCCTGGCCTGTGTGGGGTGGGCAAGGTAGGCCTCAGGGAGCTGCAGGATTGTGTGCCCGTCTCTCAGGCCGCCCACCTCCTGCCACCGGCCTGGGCTGGGGCTGGACATCCCCTCTGTCCTGGGATGATGTTGCTTAGTTCTGGGTCTCGTGTTAGCAGGTGCCCCATGCTTACAAACCTAAATTTAGAGAACCTTGTAAGGAGGGGTCTCCGGGCTCCAGCCTTGTGTCTCCTCACACAGAAGGTGTACGAACTTTGGGGATGGTGTCCCAGTACACACACCGTCCCTGTACCCTCTTACGCACTGGCCTTTGCACTCTGGAGAGCTGGTTGCCACGACACAGGCTAGGGCGTGTGGAGGTGCCACAGGTTTGCCCAGGGTCCTGGGAGATACAGGAGCTCTGGAAGCCCCTGAGTGTCTCTTCCCTTGGGCTGGGGTATCACCGGTGACCCCTAGGAATCTCCCCTGGCCCTGTGCTAGGACAGGGGCCTTGCTGACCTCGCCCAGCTTCTCCAGAGAGCCCCCTCCAAGCTAAGTTCCATGGCTGTAGGGGCCTGGGCTTGCCCTGTGTCCATAGTGGCCTTGCTGTTTCCCTCTCAAAGGGCAGAGATGTCAGGGTTCCAGAGTCCTGGGGAGGACAGAGACCCAGCTGCCAGCCAGGTGTTTGTGAGCTGGAATGTGCACAGGGGTGGGGGCGTGGCTGTGGTGGGAGAGCAGGTCCGGCTGCGCCCCTGCCTAGGTCGCCCTGCCTGGGTCGCTCTGCCTGAGGTGGCTGTGGGCTCTCTCTCTGCAGGTGTGAGCGAGTCCCCGCTGATGACCTGGGGGGAGGTTGAGAACACACCCCTGAGAGTCGAAGGATCTGAAACCCCCTACGTGGACAGGACACCGGGGCCAGCCTTCAAGGTGCGTCATGGTGAGGGGAGCACAGGTGGGACCTCGAGCGGACGTGTGGTCTTGAGAACCCTTGGCTCTGTGCACAGAGGACGGCCCAGCTGCCCGTGGTCACCGCAGGGCTGACCAGTGGGCTGGGCCACGTGCCAGGCCATGCACACACTCAGGCACAGCACTTCTGAGTGGGGTTAGGACAATGAGGACAGGTGTGGGTAGATGGGTGGCTTTGTCAAGGAGGACCTGGCAGAGTGAGGTGGCCATGCAGGACAGGGGTGTGGTGAGTATGGCTCGTTTGTGCACAGGGGACAGGCTGCTCAAAAATGACGGGTAGTCTGGGGGGCAGATCCATATCCCCCACTGTGCTGCAGGCCTGAGGGCTGGGAAGGGTCCCAGAGCCTCAGCGTTCCACACAGTGTGGTGTTTGTCCTCAGGAGAGCTGTGTGCTTGCACAGGGAGGTCTGTAGCAGAGATGGGGGTAGCCTAGGATGGTGTGGGCAAGTGGGGAGGCCGGTGTGGCCTGGCCCAGGAGGGCTGTTGGGGAGATGAGGTGCTCTGGTCTGCACACAGTTTGTGGGGAAACCGAGTCACTGGTGTGGTATGGAAGGGGGAAGAAGAGAAGCCCCCCCAGAGTTGGGAGCATGCAGTCCCATTGTCCAGGTGGGGTCACTGCCTGTACCCACTGCAGAGCACCAGAAGGTGGAGGGAGGCAGAGGTTAGCGTTGTCACAGAGACAAAGGGTGCAGGGTTACATTGCTCTGACACCCCAAAGAACTGAGCTCGGAGTCTGGGATGGATGCAGAAGGCCTGCGTAGGAGGCTGGGTTGGTCATCTTGAACCAGTCCCTTAATGCTGGCAGCGAGCAGTTTGAAGTGCAACAGAAAAAGAGATATCACTCATTGCAGCAGCAGAAATTTAGAATAACCAGGAAGAACTTAGTTTTCGCAAAGAAACCACGGACTTACATCAGGAGAACACTGCCGACTCCCCGGGCCAACCCCCAGCGGGGCCGTGGGCTCTGCCCTGTGGCCTCCCCAGTGTAGATGTACTGCACCTCGAGCCCCGAGGAGTTCAGAGGGGTCACGTGTCCAGACAGGACATATGCAGAGGTTTTTGGTACTTTGGTTCTAAAATTTGTGTTGCAAGGATAACAAAAAACCCGAGAAGAGGAATGACAGAGAGGAGCTGGTGTTATCTGACACTAAAGCATGGATGTGTCAGATGTGTCCCTGGGCCCGGAACCTACCAGTCAACAGAAAAAAAGGAAAGTTCTGAAACAAACTTCGGTCCAAGTCAGAACTTCTGGTGTGTTAGAGATGCTCACTCACATGGTGCTGAGTAGTAATTTGGAAATGAAGTGAATTGAATCCTTAACCTGTATAGCAGAATGTATTCCAGAAAGTTGAATAAGTTAAATATAAAACAGTGAGCATAAAAAATTAGGAGAGAATGGTGGTCCATATTTTATCTGATTTTAAAGTAGGAAGGGCTTTGTAAACTGGAAGCAGAGGAAGTGGCGTCCAGCTTACCCTCAGTGGAAGTGACGGACTGAAGTACAGCTGAAGGTCATTTGTGAAGTTAAAGTAACTGAAAAGGAATTTGTAGGGCATAGCGTAATATAACCAGCATGGATGAAACTCCTACAAGTAAAAAGCAGCTAAACAAAACAAAAAAAACAAGGTAAGCATCTTGTCATAAAAGTAGGTCAAGGACATGTTTTGGGAAGTCCTCAAAAGAAATACAGACGGTCGATAAAGGCAGATAAGCAGAGGGCAGCAGATTAAAACACGACCCTCTTCTTTTTTAAAGGATTGTGAGGGTCCTAACTCAGCAATGCTGTCTTTGAGAAAACCATGACCACAGGTGGGGTGGGCGGCTCACCTAGCTGGTTGGAGGCTCTCCAGGGGCTTTTAGGGGAGGTGATATTGGGATTGTGGGGGCCATGGGAGAGGCAGCCCCTCCATCAGCAAGGGACTGCCCGGCTCAGTGGCAAGCTGGCGCAAGCCACCCACACACCTACTTTGCAGATCTTGGAGCCGGGCCGCAGGGAGCGGCTGGGGCTGAAGATGGCCAATGAGGCCGCTGCCAAGAACCGGGCCAAGAAGCAGGAGGCCTTGCGGAGAGTGACGGAGAACCTGGCCAGGTGAGGGGCGCCTGACCCCCATAGGGGTTTCTCCCTGCTCCCGTTCAGCCCCCCACCCCCCACAGTGTGGACATTCGGTCTGCAGGGCAGGCCCAAGGGTCCTTCCTCGGGTCTTGTGGCAGCTTCTCTGGTCCAGAGCGAGGCCCTGTGTGAACCAGGATGCGGAGGCCCCCTCCATCTTTTCTACAGCTCCCTCTTGGGCACATCCCAGAGAGGCACTTTTAGGCCTGTTGTCCCACTGTGAGCTCCTGTCAGCCCTGTGAAGACGGGTGTCATCATTCCCCATAGAGAAAGTGGGGGTTCACCCCAGCCCCGCAGCCAAGGGCGGCAGCAGCACTCATCCTCAGGTTGGCCATGCTGTGGTGTGCCGGGCTGCTGGCGCCCCCCCGCCCAGGATGACCACGAGTCTCCCACGTGTCTCCCTGTGGGGCTGTGGCAGCCCCTGCTGCTGGCGGCGCCCCATCCGGCCTAATTCTACTTTTTTCTTTCCTGCCCCTCTCATTCACCCCCTCCACCCCAGCCTCACCCCCAAAGGCCTGAGCCCAGCCATGTCCCCAGCCCTACAGCGCCTTGTGAGCAGGACAGCCAGCAAGTACACAGACCGGGCCCTGCGCGCCAGCTACACACCATCCCCAGCACGCTCGGCCCATCTCAAGACCCCGGCCGGAGGGCCCCAGACCCCGACGGGCACACCGGCACCTGGCTCTGCCACACGCACCCCCCTCAGCCAGGACCCGGCCTCCATCACAGACAACCTGCTGCAGCTCCCTGCCCGGCGCAAAGCCTCGGACTTCTTCTAGAGCCAGGCCCGGGCTGGGCTTGTGGGAGATTCGTGGAGCCCACAGGGCAGCTATCCACCCAGCAGAGGACCTGGCCTTCTGGGGACCCAGGCCCGGGCCAAAAGCATGACTGTCCCAGGAGCCACAGAAGAAAGGTGCCATGTCACAGCCAGGCTGGCACAGGACCCACCCCGTGGCCCTTGTCGTGCACCCCAGGGCTTTGCTAGTACTTTTTTCTATGGAAACCCATGCCCATTCCTGTGTAACCAGAAGTAAAGGACACCTAGCACAGCCTGCAGGCCGACTCTCCGTCCCAATGCCTGTGCAGTCCCTCGGCCATCCCTCGGCCTGCATGGAGGTCTCAGGATGGTGGGCCTCCTGGGGAGGCTGCCACTCTGTGGGGTGACCCTCGGAGGGCCAGAGTGTGTGGCCTTTCCTTCCACCACCTGCATTGCTTTCTGCAGCATTCCTGGGTTTAAAACCAGCTGGGCACAGTTTGTTGGTCCCCAACTTCCCCACCCCTGCTCCAAGTTTTGTTCCTCTGACGGAGGGACAGAGCCCTTGGGAGTTCAGCCTGTAGGGTCCGCCCAGGGCTCTGGGCCCAGTTCTGCAGCCTTCCCAGCTAGGCCTGGCTGGCCTACATGGTTTACCAGTGACAGGGCTGCATGGGTCCTTCTTGGGCGCCAGGCCACACCCCTGCATGAAGTACCCAGTGGCCTCACCACAACCTCCAAGCGCCTGGCTTCCAGCTCAGGTGGGGCAAGGCTGTGTCCTTCTTGCCCTTCTCCCCAGTGCTCCAGGCACTGCTGGCCTGAGGCTGCTGACTCACCAGTCTCACCTGGTTACTCCCACCAGGAGCAGCCCCAGGTAATAGTATCCTGGCCATAGTGTTAAGCAGTAGGGCCTGGCTCCAAGCAGACCTGACAGTGCCATTTGCACCATCAGCCAGGATTTTCTCAGCAGCCTGAGGGCTTTGCTGCCCAACTCCCAGGAGGTCCAGGATCAGCTGCTTCACGTGCAGGTGAGGGGCCCAAGACCATGGCTGCTTGCCACATAGGTCTCTTCTGGTCTCAGCTGGGGTCAGATTGTGCCTTTGAGGGCTCACTGCTCAGGGAGGCAACCTGGAATCCTCAGGCTGGAGTCCAGCTTCTAATCCAGCCAGCCCTGTCCTAGGCCGTCTTCCTGGGTACTCCTGCCATTGGTCCCCTTCTGCCCTCCGGGAGTGCCAGTGTCCTCTGGAGGCCAGTGCAGGGTTGTTGCCTGGTGGGCGCCACTAGCCTGCGCTCCCAGACAGTGAGTTACTGCATGCTCCTGGGGGCCAAGTCCTGGCTGTGCCCTAGGACCCACAGAGGGGGCTGGGGGCGGGCTTAGCAGGTGAGCTTGGGCCAAGGGCTGGGACTGGAACATAAGCGTTTTGGTGCTTTTCCCCCATAGGGAAGAGTGGCCCTGGGCCTGAGGACGTCCTCAGGAAGTGGGGAGACAGGTCTGAGTGGGTGTGAGTGAGAGGCAGAGAGGAATGCTGTCCAGGCAAGGCTACCCAAGGCCAGGTGCTAATGACTTCCAGCACTTGGCTGGCCTATTGGGAGTGTGCCCTAGGGAGTGACAGGTGACAAAATAGGACTCTAAGTGGGGTGATCAGGACGAGAGGGTACCGGTCAGAGGTCTCAGCTGGGGTTGCCTGCCTGGGGGGTAAAGGGGACACTCCGAGGGGAAGGGGGAGAGGGAGAGGAGAAGTTTGAGGAAGGACTATCTGAGGGTGTGGCATGGGGTCAGAGTGGGCTGTGTTCTGCCTGAGGTGGAGATCCATGCACCTGGCCAGCCCTGGAGGCGCTGGGTGCAGGCAAGTCACAGAGGCCAGTGGGAGCCCATTGGATGGTCCATGGCTGCGACCTTCTCCTTGCCCACAGGGTCTCTTCGTGAGTACCTGTGCCTGAACAGGGATCCCTGGACCCCTATGCTGGAGACCCCCACACCGCATAGAGGGTGGCTGGCTGAGTCCTGAAGAAAAAGACTCCTCAGGGGGCACTCTTGGTGCTTGTTTACACTTCGTCGTTTATTTGGTGGTCAGTAATTAACGTCTTTGCTACTAAGTGGAAGAAAGCCAATAGAACGTAATCAAAATAGTGGTTTAATTGACAGATTTTACTTGTTCCTTGCACCTGTGCCTTCTTCAGCTCCTACCTGCATACTTAGCTTACTTGGGCGCCACCATGCACCATGCCCTGCCCCCCGCCCTCTGTACCCTAGGTACTTGCCTTCCCCACCTCGGCTCCCAAGGCATGGTGGTCTTTTGCCCTGGAGGTCTCGGCCAGCCTGTCCTCCATTTTGCCCTCATTCTCAGGCACCACCAGCATCCGGTGCTGGGTTTTAGTCCCCAGCTTGTGATCCTGCCGGTGCTCGGGCCGGTGCTCGGGACGGTGCTCGGGACGGTGATCAGGACGGTGATCAGGCCGGTGCTCGGGCCGTGAGCCTGGCCGGGTGTCCAGTTTGCAATCAGCCCGGTACTTGCCCTCACCCTCCCTCTTTAATGAGGCAGAAGACATGGCTTTTGGCTTGGGGGGCTGCAGCCAGGAGTGGCTGAGGATCTCATCAATATGCAGCCGCCGGTTGACGTCTGGTTGCAGGATGCGGTAGATGAGGTCCTTGCACTCACCCGTCAGGTTCTTGGAGCGCGGGAAGTCGATGCGGTGCTCCTTCTGGATGCGCAGCATCTTCTTGATGTCAGAATCGTCGTAAGGCATGGAGCCACAGACCATGATGTAGAGGATCACGCCCAGGCTCCAGATGTCGTAGACCTTGGGCTGGTAGGGGATGCCCTGCAGGACCTCAGGAGCCGCGTATGCCGCTGACCCGCAGAAGGTCTTGCTGAGGGTGATGCGCCCGCTGCAGTCCCTCAGGCAGCGCTTGGAGAAACCGAAGTCAGACAGCTTGATGTTGAAGTCCTTGTCAAGGAGAAGGTTCTCACACTTGAGGTCTCGGTGGACAACATCCAAGTCATGGCAGTACTTGACGGCTGAGGAGAGCTGGCGGAACATCTTGCGTGCCACATCCTCATGCAGGGCCCCCTGGCACTTGATGAACTCCAGGAGGTCACCCTGGACACCAAGCTCCATGACGATGTAGATGCGCCCGTCTGAGGTCTCAAAGATCTCATAGGTCTTGATGATGGAGCGGTGGTTGACAGTTGCCAGGATGTCCATTTCCCGAGGAAGGAATCTCTCCACAAAGTCAGTGGGCGTTTTTTTGCGGTCAATGATCTTGACCGCCACATTGAACTTGAGGCGCTCAGAGTAGGCTGACTTGACTTTTGCGTAGGAGCCCTTGCCAAGATTGATGCCCGCGATGTAACCCTTCTTCCTTAGGACCGCGGCATCATCCATGGTGCCAGGAGCGGCCGGTGCCTCTGCCTTCTACATCCCCTCCCCACATGGGCCAGCCGGCATCATCCTCATTTACAGTGTGGGGAGCCGTCTGACTGGGCTGGCCTGGACTTGTGGAATGCTCAGCATTATCTCCACGTGACTTCAGCCTGTGAAGTCATAAAGCCAGGCAGCCAGGAGTGGAGCCTGGACTGGGGGGAACAGGGCCCCTAGAACCCTGAGGCCAGGCTGGCCTGATAGGAGTGCTACTTTGCCGCCCCCTGGAAGGAAGCCAGCACCCAGGACTGTGGTAACCCTCCCTGTTCCTCCTCGTCATGGCTTCCCTGTCACAAGTCAGGCCCAAGATGGGGGCTGCCTGGGAACCGGAGCACCAGCCCTGTGCTGATTTTCCTCTCCTGGCTGTGAAGACTGACTCTGCATTGGTTCCTGCCCCACTGGGGCCAGTTTCCTGCAGCTTCTCTGGGATATGAAGAAAACTCCATCTAGGACTTGTGTCCTCGGGACTGGCAGTGCCTGGGAAGGACTGCTCTGGTCTGGCCAAGCTGGTAGTGTTTCCAAGCTTCGTGGACAAGAGCAGCTTCTGTTTGGGGTTCAAACTGGGTGGATCAGTGCTGCTGCTGCTGCTGCTGCTGCGGGTGGGACATGTGAGGGCTGGAAGAGCAGGCAGGGCTCTGGGGTGCTGTGGGTCCCAGGCTGGCGGATGTGTTCCGAGGACTGGGGCAGGCCTGCAGGATGAGTTGGGCTTCAGTCAGGTAGAGGAGGAGGTGATGAGGCATCCAGGTAGGGAAGAGCCTGGGAGAGGAGAGAGCTTCTGAGAATGGTGGAGTTCCACAAACAGGAGGGAGGTGGCACAAAAGGTCGGTGAGGGCTTTTCCCTGAGTGAAGGGCAGCCATTGCAGGGCACAGGGCAAGGAGAGCTGTGACCCACGTCACATTTTAAGATAGCAGCATAGAGGATGGGCTTTGGGGTGAGTGGAGGCTGGTGCCTTCAGTCAGGCAAGAGGAAGCTGGCTGAGGGCGGGTCTGGGGGCTCCAGTCAACACAGGGAGACAACAGGGTCTAGCGAGCTGGTCGGTGATTGGGCGGGGCCCTGGGCAGAGTCTGGGTGCCGGGGGGTCCTGACGGTGCCAAGGTCCAGCAGCACCCAGAGCATCAATTGTAAAGAGCAAGCACCTGGGTGGGGAGGGGTCCTAAATTATGTGGGTTTGGGCCTTTGTGAGGAGTGGCATGTTGTAGCTGTCGGAACCCTGGGAAAGCACCTTGCTCACATCTCTCAGGCCTCCTATTGCCCCTGGAACTATGTGAAAACCCTTTTTCAGGGCACGTGGATAGAGTTCTGCTTTGGAAGATAAGGCCTCCTCTACACATCTCCTTAGGCACTTTGGAAGCCCTGCGGCTCACTTGTTATCTGCCACAGGCATCCTGTGCCCGCACTCGGCAAGTTGTCAGGACCCGAGTGCCATGTGCTCTGTGTTTCGGGGAGAGGGAGGAAAGCCTGCTTCTGTGTGGGTGTGCAGGAGCTGACAATGGAGCTGGTGTGCAGAGGCTCCACTAGGTTGACAAGGGATGAGACCAGAGCGTTCCAGGATGCACCTGGAACTGAGGGGAGCTCTCTGGGTCTGGAGGTCCTTGTGGAAGAAGGCAGGGGCAGGGCAGCCAGAGTGCAGGTATCAGGTGGGAGTGACTGTCCCCAGCGGGGTGGGCTCACAGTGGGCGACTACCCTCCATCAACCAGGCCTCCCTGAGAGCTGCTTTCTCCCTGAGGCCCTCTTTCTTCTGAGGGCTCTTTTCAGCCTCAGTGACCCATAGCTTACTGCTCTGTATCCCAGAAGGGGCTGGCTGTGACGATTAGCAGTCCAGGACCCACAGCTGGGTGAGGATGACCCCCCTTTCTCCAGTGCCCTGGATGTTCTGTCTGCGATGCTCCTGCATACCTTCGTTTTTTACCAACTCTACTGGCCCATCTTGTGGATTCTATGCCCTCTTAGCCTGCTCTTGCCTGGATGGTGTGGCCTCTCTGGTTCTTAGACGTCGCGAAGGAGACAGGTCTCAGCATTGTGCAGGGGCACGGGGCAGGCAGCTTTGCCTGGGATGTGCACGTTGAGGCAGGGATTCCCAGTGTGTGGGAGGCAGGAGTGTTAGATTGGACCAGGGGATGTCCAGTGGGGCTCCCAAACTGCAGTCCTGTGGGTCAGAGACCTGCAGACCCTGAGAAGGGCATCCCTGAGCTTCGGTTTCCTCCATAAACTGGGCAACCACTTGTTCGTTCGCCCCATAAACATTCGAGGGTTGTTCCCACGGCCTGGGGTACACTGATGAACTAGAAAGGACCCATGGCTTCCTGGTGCCCAGAGGCCAGGGAGATTCACTGTCACTCTGATAGACTGGGGACTGGACTTGGGGAGACTGGGAGGTCTGGGAAGGCTGAGGTCTTAGGAGCCAGCCATGTGCAGGCAGACAAGGACTGCAGGTGCACGTGATGGCCTGAACGGACAATGTGTCAGAAGGATACAGGGATAGTAGGGAGCATTGTCGGTCACAGCATCCATGTTGAGGGTCTTGACCCTAAAGCCTTTGGGGGGACAGTCACTGAAGGGGTTAAGCCAGGGCTGAGTCCAGGGTTGAGCAGTTCACAGGTGTGGCCAGCATATGAGGCCACCTGGGGAGCTGTGGCTTCAGTCACTCAGGCTGCCACTCCATGCTGTGTGATTCAGGAGTTGACTGCCCTCTCTGAGCTGTCTCCCCACCTGGAAAACACACAGTAAGTGCTCCTTCCTATGGCCCCTCCCACCCAGGCTCACTTCAGGGCTGGGCTGCAGTGAGACCCTGGGGCCCTCCTGCCCACTGCCTGCTGCCCTGAGGACCGATATGACTGAGAGGAGAAGGTTCATGAGCCTCTCCTTGGAATGTTCCCATCTCAGGTCCACTTGGCAATCTGTAATTCCACTCCCACGCAAACAAGCTGCATGACTGGGCTCCAGGAGCCTTCAGTCTTCACCGAGAATTGGGTGGCCTGAATATGTGCCTGGGCCCTGGGCACTCACTGGCCTGCCGTGGCAGAGCTCAGTGGCTGGCTGCTGAGTGCTGTTGGAGCCCCCAGAAAGCCTTATGGAGGCCATGACCCCTCGGGGTGGAGGGAGGCTGGAGAGAGGAGCAAGGTCTGCAGGGATGCATCCACAAGCATGATTATAATGTGTGCGGGGGTGAGGGAAGAGGCTGGGAGGCCAGGAAGAGGCCAGACCTGGGAGGACCTCAATGGCCAGGCATTGGGATCTCTCTTCAGCAGAGGGAGCCAGACTGGGTGCTGTGGGAGGCAATGCCAGGGCAAGGATGAGGCCTCAGTGGTGGCTGAACCATCACACACACACACAGACACACACACACACACACACACACACACACACACACACGAAGATAGGAGGACACAGTCTGCGTGATGGTGGCTATGGGGAGGGAGGAGCCAGGCAGAGTGGTGAACTAAGTTCTGGGGGAGGGTTGCAGGTCAAGTCTCACTTCCCCCAGAGGGCAGGGAGGTGGGGTTTTCCAGAGACGAGAGACAGGGGTAAGTCTGAAGGCACTGGCCCTCTTGATGTGTTAACCCTGCAGGTCCGCATGAGGCTGTCAGAGCAAGTGCAGGGCACGAAGAGAAAGGGCCATCATGGCAGAGGTGAGGACTGCATGGGAAAGGGCGGGCAGGGCCCTACAGAGCACTGTGGCTGGTGATGCTAAATGCAAGCCTACGCCCTCTGTGGGACACAGATGGCCGCAGCAGCCAGGCAGGCATTGTGAGGACACCTGTCCGGTTTCCTACTCACCAGTATAGCTTGTCCACTCTGGCAAGGAGCGGCACTCCTGGGGACAGACTGGAACCAGAGGGAAACAGGGTGTGGTCAAGGCCACAGAGTTGTTGTGGGACGCACAGGCTGGAGTGTGGCCAGGCTGCCCAGCAGAGCTCCCTGTTTCCTCTGGGCTGGGCAGTGCCACAGGGTGAGGTGACTCAGGGAACCAATCAGAACTGGGAGCTGATTGGACACAGAGGAACTCCTGGTGAACAGAGCAGAAAAACTGAGTTGCCCATCAGGGTGGGGAGCTCAAGAGCCTGAGAAGCTGGTCCACCTGCCCTCTGCAGGTCCCTGCCCCGCAGCAGCCTTTTGGGTCCGCCTCCCATCCCACCTGTCATCTACAAGCAGCCACCTTGCCCTCCTTGGTCCTGTCCTCTCTTTATCCCCTCCCCACCCAGCATTGCACTTGTGGCCTGCCTGTCAAAGCAGCATCTCCCTCACTCAGCTCTCTGCTCTGGTCCTGGCCCCAGGTCATGGTCAGGGTTGAGCACACTGGGATATATTTTCCACTTTGGGTTGGATGGATCTTCTCCCTGGATGACCCCAGTCAGCAGGGGCACAGACACTCACCTTAGAGCCTGTGCTAATATAGTGTTTTATTCCTTCTTTACCATGTGGGTTACCAAGTTCCAAGGGAGGGAAAATAAACTGATGAAAATAGTGGCTTATCTGGGACTGTCTTCCCTTCACTTGCTTGTCCCTTGACTGTTTTGGAGCTCAGGCTCGAAGCTGTCACCTCCACCTCATTCCCTGCCAGCCCTGGGCCATGCAAGAAGCTCACTGGAAGTGTGTCTCTGGAGGCTTCGGGGAGCCCCCTCCTACTGTCCCCTTGTTCGGCTGCTCGCCTAACAGGGTGAGGCTGGTGGTCTCCAAAGTCCTTGACACCTGCACTTGCAGCGTCTCCTCTTTGGGTTTTGACTCCTGCTTCACTTCAGGCTGTGCCTCCTCCTGGGGCTCCAGCTTGGTGACAGAATTCTTGTCAGAGACAGGCTCAGTGGTCCTTGGGGGCTCAGTTTCCTGGGAGGTCTCCCCCTCCTCTCTGATGGCTGCAGAAAAAAGACCCCGGGCCTTAGGCTGGACCCAGCCGTGGCTGAGGATCTCGTCGATGCGCAGCCGCCGGTTGACATCTGGTTGCAGGATGCGGTGGATGAGGTCCTTGCACTCACCTGTCAGTCTCTTGGAACGTGGGAAATCGATGCGGTGCTCCTTCTGGATGCGCAGCATCTTCTTGATGTTGGAGTCATCATAGGGCATGGAGCCACAGACCATGATGTAGAGGATCACGCCCAGGCTCCAGATGTCGTAGACCTTGGGCTGGTAGGGGATGCCCTGCAGGACCTCGGGGGCTGCGTATGCTGCTGACCCACAGAAGGTCTTGCTCAGTGTCATTCGGCCACCATCATCCCTCAGGCAGCGCTTGGAGAAACCAAAGTCAGATAGCTTGATGTTGTAGTCCTTGTCAAGAAGAAGGTTCTCACACTTGAGGTCTCGGTGGACAATGTCCATGTCGTGGCAGTATTTGACGGCTGAGGACAGCTGGTGGAACTTCTTGCGAGCGTCATCTTCATGCAGAGCTCCCCGGGTTTTGATGAATTCAAGGAGGTCACCCTGGACCCCAAGCTCCATGACAATATAAATCTTGCCATCCGATGTCTCAAAGATCTCATAGGTCTTGATGATGAAGCGGTGGTTTAGCACAGTTAGAATCTCAATTTCCCGGGGAAGGAATTTCTCTAAGAAGTCTGTGGGGGCTTTCTTGCGGTCGATGATCTTGACCGCCACGTTGAACTTTAGGCGCTCAGAGTAGGCGGATTTGACTTTTGCATATGAGCCCTCTCCCAAATTTATTCCCATGATGTAGCCTCGTCGCTTGAGGATGGCAGCATCATCCATGGTGCCAGGAGCACCCAGTGCCTCTGAGGCTGCCCTCTACATCCTTGCAAGACATGGGCCAGCAGTGTCTTCATTTACACTATGAACAGAGTCCTCTGGGCTGGCCTTGTCTGCTGTCCCTGCCTCCTTAGAGGCCCAGGCTCTGGGGTGGAACGTTCAGCATTGTTTCCCAAGTGACTTCAGTGGGTGAAGTCACAAAGGAATCCCTGGGGAATGTGGCTCTGGCTTAAGCCACTTGAACTCAGAACCCGGGAAGGCTAGCCATTGGGCTGTAGCAGTGTGAAAGCCCACAGAGAGTGGCCTTGCACTTGGCTGGGACCAAAGGTAGCAGGGGTCCATGGGGATACCATGCCTCCAAACCAAGGACTGCTTGTTGAGCAGCAGAGCTAATTACTGCAACCCAGGAAACCCAGGGCAGGTGGTTGTCCTAGCACGAAACAAGACGTACTCCAGTTGGGGCGGTCTGAGGGTTTAATAAGGGCATAATTTGCAAAGGTGGGAACAGAGTGTAGGAAACCCCAGTGGTAGTCACACACTCCTGGAAGAAGGGAGGGATGATCACTGGAACCTGGGAAGGGTAGTATAGAGAGGGCGATCTTGAGAAAGGCAGTGATGTTAGGGGTAGGCCACAGTGACCCCACACGCAAGGAGCCGGGCAGAAATATCCCTGATCTTTTCTCTTCAGTTCTGGAAGCCCTTGCCTGTGTCCACACAGGTGGCCTGCAGGCCATGCAGCACGGTGAAGGGTGGAGGTGGGTCAGGAGGGGCAAAGACTCCAGGCCCCGGGGGGTTACTGCCTTCAGGAAGCCATAACTGTGCCCTCTCCTGCACAGTTTGGCTGGACTCTTCACCTCGCTGTAGTTCTTTCCTCATCCAAAACCTCACTGGCCTGCTTTTCTGACAGTGATCTGCACAGGGGACAACTGGCAGGGATTTCTGCTTTTGGCTTTGTGTTCCCCTCTTGGGGGTCTGCCCAGACCATAGCCCTGGCTGGGCTCCCAGGGCAGATCTGGGGCTGGGGCAGAAGCTGGACCTGGATCTTGCTTTGAGTGCCATCAGCTGCTCCCGGAATGCTAACCTGAGGACAGTCCAAGTGGAGACATCAGCATTGGACAGGGACCAGTTTCTGCCAGTAGTGAAGCCCTCTGCTGTGACAGCCCCTTTGTCTAGCACCTGCTCAGGGCCACACTGAGAAGCAGATGCAGGTAGGTCTGGCCTAGCCTTGGGTTTAACCTTGGCCATATATGCCCAGGGGGTATGGGTGCCTTTCTCTCAGATGACCCTGAGTGTCCCAGGGTTAAGAGACACTCAGGAGAACCATGCCTTAAGGGAGCTTGAGAGGCCTACTCCTGGGGAGTGAGCCTGTGGGACTGGAGGTGGGGATGGGTCCTCACCAGCTGTAGTCCTCCCCTCTTTCTCTGCTTCTATCTTCACCCTCTTTTCCGGTCCTCACACCCTGTGCCAGGCTTTGTGTGCACAGCTGATGGTCCTTCCTTTGGAGAGCTTGCTCCTCCTCCTTCCTCCTGCTAAGAACACCCTCCCTGTCTGCTGGGTCCCCTCCCATGGTCACCTTGTTCCCAATAACAGGTGCAAAATCAGTAAAACATTGTCCCCAGTGGCTTCCCTCTATGCAGATGTGGCCTGATGTGGCAGCAGCTTTGCCCAATGTTCCTTTCTTGCCTTCCCCATTGTGTAGGCAGGGACCTTCCTCCAGAGCCAGCTTTACTACAGGGTCTCTCTAGAATGGGGCTTCCCTGTCAGCTCTCTTTGTATGACACTCCTTTACACAATTTCCTCATCTGTTTGAAACATTTTCAGTTGTGTATGCTGGTGAAGTCACACCTGCGTGTACCTCAGAGTACTGATCCTCCTTTCCCCACTTCCTCGAAGATAGTCCGAGGCCTTCCAGTTTTCCTCACCCCTTTGGAGAGTTTCCTAAAGACCACATTAAGGCGCACTCTTGGGCCGCCGACCGGATCTCGGCCTGCAAGTGTGCAAGGTGTGAAGACCCTTTGTGTCCCGTCAGTCTTCTTTCACGCTCTGCCCCCTGGGCCACCCTCGGCCCCTCCTCTCCACACCTTTCGGCCTCACTGGGCCCTGCCCCTTTCCGTGTCCGTCTTCTGGAGCGTCCCACTGCCCTTCCCCCGCCGCCCTTGCCCTGCGCCCTGGGATCCTAGGCCCTTTGGGGTCCCTACAGCACAGGTATTAACTCCGAGCCCCACCTCTTTGTTTAGCCAATGGTACACTTCACTCGTTAAGTCCCGCCCCCGTCGGACCCGCCCCTCACTGTCCCTATCTTAGGCCTCGCCCCTTTCGGGCCCTACCGCTCAGGCTCCGCCCCAGCTCCGCCAATGGTCCGCACAAACTGGGAACGCGCAGGCCCCGCCCTGCCTCGGCGCTCATTGGCCGGCGCCAGTATAGAGGGCGGGAGGCGGAGCGTCGTGAAGCAGAGCAGGACGGCCGCCATCTTGCGCGGAGCAGGAGTCGGAACCCGAGACTGCGGCCGAGAGTGCACACCAGTCCGCGGCCCAGTGCAGCCACGGCCCAGTCGGAGCCCTCTCTCGCCGCCTCTTCGTATCCGGCCCTGTCTCAGGTCCCGTCCCGGCCCGGTCCCCCGACCCTCAGCCAGGCCCGGTCTGGCCTCCCCGCGGGGTCACGCGGCCGCCCCGGGGACGATGAACGGAGGATAAATGGTGCCCAAGGCAGACAGCGGTGCCTTCCTGCTGCTCTTCCTGCTCGTGCTCACCGTCACCGAGCCGCTGCGACCAGGTGCGCGGTGCTGGGGGGCGGGGCGGGCGGTCGGGGGCGGGGCGTGCGGGGCTGGGGTAGCCCGGGACCTCCTTCCACCTGGCTGGGCCGCGTCCTCAGAGGCGGCGGCATCGCCCGCGCTGGACCCGCACGGCCGGGAAACCATGAGTTTACCTGGGCTCGAGCGCCTCGTGCACCATGGAACTTTGTTCTCGAGGGGTGTTGCCTGTGGGTGCACGTCCGTGGAGCACTACATGCTTTGAGGTTGACGGAAGCGAGAGTGATGGAGTTCTCTCGCCTGGGAGCTGCGCTGTGGACGCGCCCTCGTTGCTTGTCCAGCGGCTGGGGTTAGGTTCGAGTGCTGGGGCTCGGGAGAGCATTTCGTGGAGGCACCTGGTTTCCCTTGCTCCCGCCCAGCAGTGAGTTGGTGCCAGCGTCAATCCCTGGAAACCCCTCTGCTAGAAAGCGGTTGCTTATTGTCACTCTGTGGGGTATTACACTCGAAAACTACTCTGCTCAGAGACTTGCCCTTAGGAGGTTACCGGGCATCGCGAGCGGGCCTGTCCTGGGACAGAGGCTATCGCGTTGCCCCGCAGGTGTGTCACAGTAGTAGAAGCCTGGACAGTGCCAGGTACTTAGGACTGCTCCTTGTATTTAATGATTAAATGCCTTTGGAACTCTCCTTGGACTTGTGCTTCTATAAAAAAGCCTGTGGTGAGGGGTCAGAATCATGGCAGCTAGAAGGTCCTAGACAATTTTTCTCTACCTATTTCTGATGTACCCCTTCTCCTCTGAACTACAGCAAGAAAATCAAATCCCCAAATGCAGGGCCGGTTTGTCTAACAGGGACAGGAGACACATGCTGGGTCCCACAGTGCTTTTAGGAGCCTGTAACAATGTGATTTCTTTTTTATATATGTACATTTTTTAAAATATTTTTTTAGAGAGGGGAGAAGGGAGAGAGAGAGACATCAGTGTGTGGTTTCCTCTCATGTGGCCCCCACTGGGGACCTGGCCCTCAACCCAGGCATGTGCCCTGACAGAGAATGGGACTGGAGACCTTTTGGTTTGCAGCCCATGCTCAATCCACTGATTGAGAAATCAGCCAGGGCTGATTTCTTTTAAAATGAGCAGAAAAATGAAAAACCTTGTAGGTTAAAAAATGTGCACATGTAGGTATTCATTTTTATAACAATGTGATGGAAAAGTAGGGCTTTTTTTCATTGGGTTTTTTTAGAGAGAGCGAGCAATTTTTGTCATTCCACTTATTTATACATTCATTGGTTGATTCTTGTGTGTGCCCTGACCAGGGATCAAAGTGGCAATCTTGATTTATCCGGATGATGCTCTTACCAACTAAGCTAGGCTGCTTAAGTATGATTCTTAACAATTTTTTTCTTTTATTAATGCGGGAAGGGATCCATGAAGGTGTAAGTGCTCAGGTCCATCTTCTGTGAGCACTGCCAGGCCTCAGTGGGTGAAGGCAGGTTGGGAGCACGGCCGTGTGCAGCCCTCCACTGTGCCCTAGCCAGGCTCCTACCCCAGACTCGCTGAACCTCTGTACTCCCCAAGGTCTGCCTGGTGGTCAGGGCCCTGGGCCCACACTCAACCCGGAGTCTCTTCAGTGATACTTCCCTGGATTCCCTGAGTAGAGCTGGTTGCTCACTGCTTTTGATGTTCTCTGGGCAGCAGGGTGACTAGTCCTGGGACAGCAGCCTTGGCAGGAATGGAAGCAAGGAAAAGGACCATCTGTCCAGGAGGGTACTGTATAGGCTCTTGGGGAGCAGAGCCAATGGATTGTGGGTTGTTGTGATTAGGTCCTTTAGAAAACATGTCTACACCTGTAGAAAGGTGAGACATCATCCTATTCTGGCTCCTGGGTCCCAGTTTTGCATATCAGGTCTCTAGACTCTGAGGGGTGAAGCCATGAATCACACATGCCTATCTTCCTTGGGGTGCCTCTGGTTCCAGGTCCAGCATCTCCTGCCTTGTTGATAGAGGTGATGAATGTTCCCAACTCCTTTTCTGTCTGTCTACATATCCTGCCAACTGGCCAGCAGCCATTCAACAAGTATCTCAGTGTTCAATGCCTGCCCATCACTAGGGATACCCAAACAGAGAAAATAAGCCCCTCCCTCTGGGAGTGCCCTTTGGACGTGGAAGGAGAGATGAGGTATAAATTAGTCTGGTGGCAGAGGTGATGACCATTTGTATCTGTGAAGCAAGGGAGGGCTTCACAGAAGACATCAAGCTTAGGTCTGAGTTGGGGCAGGGAGGCCGCTCTGGCAGAGGCCGCAAAGTTACCCTTTTCATTCCGGGACTCTCCAGAACCTCTTAGTGGCCCCCAGTGGTATCTTGCTCTGCGAAATTGGGGGATTCCTACTGGCTTCCTGACTTTGTTTGGGCGGTGAGGTCATGTCTCACTCCAGGCCAGACGTTCTTGTGTGCTGTGTGTTCTGTGTCCTTCCAGGCAGGGGTCCATTGGCTGCCGTTCTCAAGTGGGTGCTTCTTTGGTCTTTGCCTGCATTCTTTCTGTTGCAGTCCTGTCTTAGACGCATACTTGAGTGTGAGGAGGGCACCAGACAGAACCTGTTTCCCAGGAAGGAGGGAGGGAGGCAGGCAGGTAGGCAGGCGGGTGTGGAGGGTGCCCTCTGTTTTCAGCCAGGTGAAACCCTTGAGGACAGGGACTAAGCCACCTTTGGCTGGAGCTCTCTGATGCAGGCCAAGGCATGAGGCCTTTCACAGAATGGGGACAATGGACAACATGAGAGTGCTGAACTTGACCTTTTGCCACAGTTTCTTTTAAATGCATGTCTGATACTGCTTGAGAGTGTGTTACATGCCAGGCACTGTTGTATTACCAACACATGTGTTGATTAAGTGAACTCACATGGTCCCTGTGAGGTAGATACTGTTAGTAGCCCCGTTTACAAACGAGGAAATTGGAATGCGGAGAGCTCATTAAGCTAAGGACTGAGGTGAGACTCAGTCCTAGAAGTCTGGCCTGACCCCATCAGGTACCTTTCTAGGGGCTTGTGTAATGTCCTGCCGTCCGTACGCCCTGCTGTGGAGCCCCACATGGCTTCTGTTCTCCCGACGCACCCCAAGATTCACCAGGGAGGGATGCTGAAGCTTTTTCCATCTGAATAATCTGGTCTGAGAGAGAACCAACCCTCCCCCAAAATTCCTTTTGTGGTTAATTGAGCATAATGACCAACGAAGATGTGCATTTTCATGTCTACGGGGGATGTGAAGAGAAAGGAAGGTTGAGGGTCTCTGCCGAAGGACGACAAATAGAGGGGCAGTTAGGGGCCACTGACTGTGATACCGTGTCACTGACCCTTTATACACAGAATGCAGAATCAATTGCTCACTCTACAACTGTTTTTCTATCATCAGTTACGAAAGAAAATCATATGGTGGGGGACAGCTCCCTCCAGGCTGCCCCCACCATATGTAGCTGAGAAAACATTCACCTTTTCTGACTTATCATGTTCTCCACTGAGGTCCCCAGCCCAATAAAAGACTTGCGCTTGGGCAGGCCTCCTGGTGAGGTAGCAGGACTGGAGCGGTGTTCCTTGGGATAAAGAGAGCCTCTCCCTACTGGGAGAGGCAAGTGACTTCTATGAGGTCACATAGCTGGTGAGCAACCCAGCTGGGATTCAAACTCAGGTGAACCGGCTCCTATTTCAGGGTTCTTTCCCCTTGGCCATTAGGGACCCTGAGGGGCCTGCTGGACCTGCTGGAACTGGTAAGTCGTCAGTGAGCTGAGAAGTGGCCACAGTACCTTTCCTCTGGAGCAGCACACTGGTTAATGAATAGGAAGAGTGTGGGGTTTGTTTTTTTTTTAAGATTTTATTTATTTATTTTTAGAGAGAAAGAGGGAGAGAAACATCAGTGTGCAGTTGCCTCTTATACGCCCCCCACTGGGGGCCTCATCTGCAACCCAGGCATGTGCCCTGACTGGGAATTGAACTGGCAGCCTTTTGGCTTGTAGGCCCACGCTCAACCCACTGAGCTACACCAGCCAGGGCAAGAGTGTGGATATTTTATAAACAGAAGTGGCCGAAGCTGGAAGTACCTGGAAAGTTGAGCCTGCACCTAGGCTAGCCAGGCGCTTTCTGAGTTTGGAGCTCTTTTCTCTGCAGCCTGCCGCCCTGTAACACTGTAGACCTTGCCTGGCTAGCAGACTGGGCTTTGGGCTTTACAATTTCATTCTTTTTAGTTGGAAAGTAGTGTTACACTTTCCAACCTCACTAGTTAATTATTGTCTTAAAAAAACAACAAACATTTTGGAGGGGAAATAATCTCAAACTTACAGAAAATTTTCAAAAATACAATTAGTGCAAAGAACACTTGAGTGTCCTGTTCTAGATGTACTATTGTTAGCATTTTATTTTATTTGTCTTACTCCTCGTGTGTGTACTCATGCCTAGAAATGTGTGCATGCACGTGATTGCTTTCTGAACCATTTGGCAGTGAGTTGTGTATGTCATGGCCCTTTCCCTCCGAACACTTTGACCACTTCAGAGAGCGGGAGGAGGCTCCTGGTATTTAATGCCCCTGAGAGATGTACAATGATGCTCCCCCTGCATTCCCCCTATAACAGGCCATCACCTGCTGTGTGCTAGGCATCGTGTCAACCACAGTTGGGGTTGAGAGCACAGGATGTGCTGTGGTTAAAGCTCCAGTTGGCCCAGGTGGCCACTAGTCAGGGTTAGTGTTTTGGTTGGTGGTTCTCGTCTCAGGAATGAAGAGTGTGCTGTTGTTGCGCACTTTGGCAAATGCGTCTGTACCTTCTGGCTCCTCTTAGGCTGCGTCTTTGGTGTTCCTTTGGTCTAGATCGCTCTTGCCTGCAGCCTTGCTCTGCTTTCCAGGCCTAGCCCCTTGGCACTATCTTCTCCCTGCCCCTCCTGGCAGTTCTGCAGCACTTAATGAATGCACTCATCATGGGAGGTGACCTAGTCGTGGGCCCTCCTGCACACGTGATGTCTTACCTCTATCCCTTCCCTCTCTTTGAC